AAAAAAAAAAAATTTCAGATCCCGTTTCACTGACCCGGCCGGGATATGAAAATCAATTATATTAATTTGTGTCGCCTTATTTATTTATTATCTTTTTTTTTTTTTTGATTGATATATTTGTAAGCACTGGCTCTTTATTATTGTCCTGTTGATGTTGCTATATCTTTTCTCCTCTGTCACTTTCTTCTCCCCCCTTTTTTTTTTTTTTATTATTTGTTTGTAGTGTGGTTTTAGGTGTCGGGTTGCTTCGTTGTCAAAGACTTGTTGAAGAAGCATCTTCGTTCGGGATGGCTGAGCTTTCTGCAGATAAGGCATGCATGGATGCGCTAGCAGTTAAGTTCTTCAGGACATCCTTTCTTGTTCCAATTAATGCATATTTGTTTGCTATTGCTCCATGAGATGTCTGATTTGGGATCCGTTGTGGGTTAGAAGGACACTGTTATTTTGTGGTTGTTGCGTCGAAATTCTCACTCTCAGCTTCTAAATCTCGGTCGAGCAGGGTCATATCATGATTTATTGGCAAATTTAGCCTCCTATCTTTATCGTACACCAATATAGCATTGAATTCTTGCCTGATACATAATGAGTTAACGTGATCGCGGTACGCATTTAATTCTTGCTCTCTGATACTATATATTATAAGCATGGTGTCTATATATGAAATGTCATTAAATTTGTGTGACTGGTTGCACTTTCGAATTGAAATTGTGCCTCCTTTGGTCATTATAAGATTCTGGTCATCGTCGTTGTTTTTTAAATGTAGTTTTATACTTTTCTGTGTAAATTCATGCAGGTCTATGTAAAAGCTGAATGCAATGACTTTCCATAAGCACGTAGGTAAGTTCGGTTTGTTCAGAATCATTTCTATTGCCTTCTGCCCTTTGTGCCAGTTTAGTACCCACCAAAGACGAATTCTTTCGATAAAGGGTGTGTTGGAGTTGTTGAAACCTTGAACAGGCAGAAGATTTTCTTCCTCAGCATATTCTACGGACAGAAACTTCTGGTGGTTTGATTTTAGACGTATTATTGTACTGGATTGGGAAGCTGACTGGGCTGCCTTGTGTGTTTCATCTTGTGCGGTGGTGTCTTTTGGGTTGATTAAAAGATTATTTAGAAGGGAGGTTAGAGGACAATTATCTTGTTGGTTTGTACTGCTATTATACTGTTTGTTTGGATGTTGGAGGCTGGTAGAGTTGAATTTATGGTTGTGACCTTTGTTAGTCATATTGACTTGTTCATTGCTAAGCATTTTGCTAGAGCTACTGGTGGTGGGTTGGGTTTGTTGGCCTTGGTGGTGACTTATGTAAGTATTCAATTGATTATTCAGCTTACTAATCATATCTATTTGTGCCACCATTGTTTGGTCGATGTATGACTTAATGTTGCATATAATTGCATTGGATGTTGCCTGACAGGCTGCGTCTATGTACACCCTTGTGCTTTCATCAATGTTGGAGAAATTAACATTAGTAGCCAGGTTGTTATTTCTAGTGCTGTATGTATTGTTGGTTGATTTGCTTGGGTCTGTGGATGCATTCTGTTCCATACTATTACTATTATTTTGAACACGTAAAACTGTCTTTCAAGCTAGAGTTGGACAGAGTTAGAGCTGCGATCGTTCTTTATATAGTGTCATGTTTGGTGGCTGATGTGGTGGCTTGTGGGTCGTATGCCAGTGCTGCAATTTGATTGGTGGGGTGCACATGCCTTGGTGAAGATCGAATTTTGTGCTTAGCCTAGTTTTTCGAATTGTTGACCCTTGTCAACATATAATGTTACATGTAAATTTTTTATGGGTCAAATGATCGATGCACCTAAATTTCATATGTAAAATTTATGCAAGTTTTGCTTTTTAGGCTTATTTAGCAACAAATAAGTTGTCTATTTATTTTCTTGATATTATTTTGCAAATTCTCTAGCATTTGAAGGTTCTTCTTATGAAATTTTAAAGGTGGTTAATAATAAAATTGAGAAGAATCATGATCACGAAGTTTGGCAATTTTTTTATGATTTTTGCTGTTTGTTTATATGTAATAACAAGTAATTTATATCATCATCCAAAATAAGGGAACGTCTATAGCAGAGGCACTTATATTTCTTAATAATATTCATGATTAACATTATAGTTAGGGTCATCTTATATTGGGGTTAGGATTGGTTTAGCTAGTTATTTATAAGTAAAATTGCTTTCCTAACATTTTTGATTAATCTACCCAAGGTAGGTTTAGACTGCTGTTTTTTGTATTTTTCAGGTTGTTGGTTTTTATTTTTTGGTTTGCTTTATTAGCAATTATCAAAATTCTATAATTTTGATTGGTGTTTGATTACATGATTTGCCTTCACTTTAGACATTCCCAAAATAAGTAATATAAAACCATCAATTAAATTTTTTAATTGATATTTACTTATTACTTATTTGAATTAATAATGTAAATCACTTGACATCATATATAAACAAAGAGTAAAATCATAAAAAAATTAATTAACTTTATAGTCATGATTTTTCTCTATTTTATTATTTATCATCTTTACAATTTTATAAGAAGAACATTTAAAATTAAAGAATTTGTAAAATGATATTCAGAAAATGAATAAACAATTTTTTTTAAAATAAGCCTAAAAAGCAAAATTTGTATAAATTTTATATATGAAATTTAGGTGCATCAGTCATTTGATTCTATATTAAAAATTATATATATATAATCTTTATAACAAATTGTGTAACTAATATGATATAGTTTCTCAGAAGTAAATTTAAATATATAAATATATATGTTTTATAAAATTTTACTTGTAGATAATTGTTTATTCTATATCAAGTATAACTGAAAATATAAACAATAGTAAGTAAAGCAGTTATAGCTAAATCTGTTTAGTTGGCTAAGTTAGCAGATATAATAGTAGCTATATAGTTATGAATATAAGATTATATAGGAGTAACAAAACTTTTTTTATATATAAGAACTTGGTTTATAACTTAAAAACTTACTAATTAATTTATATCTTTAAGGATATAAAATACAAATTGTAAATTATATATTAAGCTTATACCCTTAAGGATATAAGATACAAATTGTAAATTATATATTAAACTTATTCCTTTAAGGGTATAGAATACAAATTGTAAATTATATATTAAGAGTAAGATGTTTGTAGATTATTTTTATATAAGGCTATACAAATTTAATTAATTGTTTCTCATAACCCGGCCGGGTCAAATTTTGAAAACTTTTTAAGAAAAATTTTTATATGTTTTAATAGTCTGATGGGGTTTCAAAAAAAATATTTTAAAAATTTTATAAAATTTTATATATAAAATTTAAAAGAAAAAGCCGACCGGCCAGGTCATTTTTAAAATTTAATGTTATGAAAAACAAAAAATTAATTTTGTTTTGCCTAATCTATATGCAAATTAAAATTTTATATAGTATAATTTAACACAGTTTATATATAGAAATTAGAGTTATTGAAAGGTAGCATACTTTTATATATAGTTAGTAAAAGTTTTTGAAGATATATCACAATTTACAAGGCTAATTTTAATAATTTAATTATTATTAGATTTATTTAATAAGCTTTTTAACTTTAATTAAAGAATTAACGATTATTAATTTAGTATAAAAAAGTTTTAAATAGAAGTATACACATTTCAAAAACTCTAATTTCTATATATAAACCAATTATGTTATTTGATATTACAGAAACTTTTAATATATCAGAGTCTTTGTCAAGTTTTCTCTTATAGAGGTTACTCAGTTAGCTGTTTATACAGACTAGGATAATATTTCAGATATTTCACCTTGACACCTTAGCAATGATGACTATACAGTATATTAATTAGATGTATATATTTGCTTTAATTAGCTAAATCTTTAGTTTATTCAAAATAAGAAGCACTTTATTCTTTATTTTTTGCTTTTGCTTATAAATACAAATTTTAACTATTACTAATTACAACCATTACTAATTACACTATTTTAACTTTTAAATTAATTGATTACTAATTTTATTTACATTAATTATTATGCTTTTATTAACTTTATGCATTATGCAAATTCTGATCATGCTATTTATATATCCTGATCTTAATCAGACCTTGTTTAATAAATTCTTAAGCTGCCAAAATATATTATAATACTGGCAAATTATTAATTAAATATTTAGATTAACAAAGCAAGTTTATTAATACAGTTATTCTCTTATATAATTATGTAGTTTTTTTATTATTTGGCAAAATTTTTTTAGAGAATATATAAAATATAGATGTATATATATGAGTAATTAGAAGAAAAAAAAAGAAATTATGCTAAAAAGAAAAAGAAAAAAAGACTAATATTAGAAAAACTAAATACTGGTATAGAAAAGACAGAGCTAATTACAAAAAAGAATAGTCAAAGTCAAGATTAAACCAAGAAAAAGTTAAAAAAAAAAGAAACTGAAATAGTAAAAAAAGAAATACTTAGTTTAATGCTATTAAATACTTTATTAAAAATAGAATAAAGCTATTCTTGTGTGACTTTACTAGCTAGCTTAATGCAACTCTTTGATATAATCAAAAATCTTAACTCGTATGGCAGACTTGGCACCCTTCAGAGTAGCAAGAAATATCAGATCTATAGTTTAGATAGTTAAATATATGTCAATATATATATTTTAATCTAATAAAGATACTGGCAAAGCTGCCAATAAATTAAATAAAATAAAATAAAAAACTAAAATATAATAAAATTATACAAACAATATTTTTTGTTAATAGACAAATTGCGAGTCACCTAAATAAATATTTTTTTTTTATATGTAAATTTTATTAGGGAATGTCTATTTTCACCATGGTATTTTGCTATTTCCACCATGGTTACACAAAAATTACTATTTTTAGCATTTAATATAAAAAGTATCCCTTAAACTGTATTCCAGGCAAATTTGCCTGGAAAATTTAATTGTATTTAGTATTTTTTAAATAAAATAATA